CATGCAGTTTAAATGGTCAGAATGTATAAATCTAATAGTGGAACACAAATGCAAAAAATATATGTCATTTGGCAAAATAACTGCGTAAAAATTGTTCACTGCATTCGCACTGTGCAAATTTTTATACAGGTCATGTCTGATGCACACAAAAGTATCTGTTGAAATCATGTTAGAAGTATGTTTTTAGTCATTTCAGTGATCCGCTAGATCGGGCTTCGGCAGTTGGGTTTGCGTTTTAGCAGTTGATTATCCACATGTCTCTGTACATAGGCCGTTGGTCGCTGACTCAATTTTAGCAAAGATCCGCAAATGGTGAGACCCTTAACTGTTGGGGGAACTGATATCACTCTCCCAGGAGATATGTTGACAGGGAGAAATCCCATAAAACATCAAGAACACCATTACTATCCATCCTTTACGAGAAAAAAAAACAAAAGGACAGTCAGTAAAAATCTCCTTGAGATTCCTATCTTCAGTATCTTCATATCCGTCTATGTGTTCATTTGAGAAAAATGAATTCTCCTAGAGGCCCAGAATTCATTCATGAAATATCTAGCCAGCATGCTTTTTGTAGGACTCATAAATTTATCATCTTTTGCTACATCATCTCGGATGATCCAACTAAGTCTTTCGGTGATAGTAAATAAGCATATAGCCTGGACGCCACGAAATGTCCATGTCGAAAGTTAGACAATCTTATGGTCTCACGATGGTGCGTATGGCGACAAATAAATTATCTTTATACCCATTCACCTTGACAGATGCGTGGAATGAAGTCTGTGTATATACCCTAACACTCTTCGAGTTCATACCCCCGGTAATGCTTATGAAGTTATTTTGTGAGGGTCAACGCGAGAGAAAAATCATGCCATTCACAAGCAGCTAACTTGAGGAGGAACGCGATTTTTGAGAACTGCCATCTACGGATTTATTCGTTGAAAACGATTCAGACGTGAAAACTTAACATGTGATGAGCGAGACGTTATGGCTGTGTTTTGATTATCGATCGCCGTCTTGGATGACAATTTCATTAATTCTGCATCATTACAACTCCCTGTGTCAGTAGGCCTGACTTAAGTGGTAGTTGCCAAGTGAAAAAGTGAACGAGTGCGACAGAGTCAGGCCGGAGAAGCATATGAAGCAATTATGGTCAACGTTGTCCTGTAAAGGAACTCTAACTGAACCGCAATTTCTGGTAACAAAATCGCACATCACAGGACATAGGTTTTAATGTATTATATCATCTGAAACACGACCTTCCTTGATACGCGTCGATAAGTGTGCGAGTAGACCTCGCAAGTGACTTGCGATGGTCTGCCTACAAGCACTTTCGTTGTTCCCTCTGCTATCCGTTATTGATCGTGTTTCATTTGCAGGATTATGCAGAAACGACCAGAGCTAGGCATGGAAATCATATGCGAGCCGATTTACAGAATATTATGTAGGGGAACCGAGATAGATCAGCAGCTTGGAGATTTCCAACACAGTATTAGTGTTGTATTTTGGTAGAATTACGCAAGTAAGATTTTTTAAATTGAGAAGAGAGCTGTAATTCTCTGCAAATGGGACGCACCCCTGTCGTTTCACAACCAAAATAATCTCAATTCAATAGGTAGTTTACTAATTGCAACCACACAGATTCAGTGTTGGTCCTTTATATGTGCTGCAAGGAGATCGATGCATGTGAGCCCATAGACCTTATCCAATTGTTGGTCGATCGAACGGCTCGAACCGGCGAATTATGCATGGGAGTAGAAAGTGTAGCATTCCGCCCCTCTACCAACATTCCGGCCAATTTCCTTATTGTCATATATGGAATACACCATATACTAACGAACTGTCAGAATCAATACTACTGTCAACCCCCATGTTTTTTCAGTTGTGTCCTCAATCTGCCGCAAGCGCTTCTTCGCTTACGCATCTAAACATTTTATTTTGTAGTTGGTGATGACGTGAGACGATATCCAGCAACAGACACGATCTTCTACTCACCCAAATATCAAACAGGTGTGAGCTTCTACGGTGAAAAGGGACTTTTGGAGGTGACAGAATGCTCGACTCTGAATCCGGCAGTCACGGCGGAGGTCGATGACAAACTGGTGAAATTCAAAACGTCAGAGAAAAAGTGTTGGTTTACTTTGATCTGCCATTTGAGCACGGAACGTTCTAAGAACGTGACTTATACCGCATCACTTCTACTCATTGGTAAGCATGCCGTCTGCCGTTGTTGGACAGTTCCCTAATCTCATGCCTTAAGCCTAGTTCATTGACGACCTGCGTTCATTAGCCATTTTCTAAAGATTCTTCGTCTCTTGAAAATACGAGTTGCTCATTTTTCCACTAATTGCCTGTTGATAAGGCTACCGCGTTTTTAAGGTATCCACGGCTTTTGTCGCCAAATTCTCCAGACAAAATGAGGAACTCATATTGCAGCAAAATATCCGGTATATTTATTAGTTGCAAGCCTTTTTGAACTGCTGATATTGCGTCTGTCGGGCTAATCGACGTAAACCTCTACACGATAATCTTACTAGACCTAAAATCCGAGGAGGAGGCCTTGTAACTCACCCGTGTATTGCGGCACATGGGGTGAGTTTGTCCGCACGATTTGCATAAATAACTTGGATGAACAGACCTGCAGGATCAAACAGACCAACCCAGAGAGTTTGTCCATAAAGGCCAACAATCTCCCTATTACAAGCATATTTTTGGCGACATCTTCGAGCAACGAACAGCATTCCACAGAATGCCTGAGATGGTAGGAAACTTAGCCCTCTCGTTACCTGTTGCTAACTCCCTCATGAAAAGTCCAAGTAAATAATGAAAGTGTGAAATGAAGCCCCAATTTAGAAAAGGCCCTCCTGAATGAAAATCGGATATTCAGTGGGGATTCAGTAACCGCGAAGTGCCTAACAGGAAGATTTGACGAGGCGGAAGTTCGAATTTGAACTCCTGAAAGACCTCAAAAGCTGGCAATAATAAGACTGTCACGTGTTTGACTAACCTCACTGCCTACTTTGTCAGTGATGGTTTGGAAACCATTAATGGATTGTATTTTCTTGTGATACTTCTACGCCTATCCACCGTCCAGAACGATGCGACTGTGAGTTTGCACTGCAGCTTAAACAGACAGACGGGAAGTTGGGTGGAACGCATGGACTTGACATCAGCTAGTGATTCGATTGCCTATTCTTGTCCCCTGTCACACATAACTAAGAAGTCAAGGAAACTTCAGCAAAGTAAGGTGTGAGCCATCTCTTAATGAAATAGATTTGGACAAAGTCTAGGTAACTATACATTCCGAATGGCAGTACGTCTAAACAGCAAGACAATGTCAATGTGTTTTCAACTGTGTGTAAGAGACGAATGAAAGCCTTTAGTGAACTGTTTACGCACGTCACACACGGTGTCTCACAATTCCTCACAGGCAACAGACGAAACTGATTGAGAGGGGGTTTGTGGTCAGACCAAGGTCGTAATATTCTAAAGGCCGCAGTAAGAACGAGCAATTACGAACAAGCCCTCAGTTCAAATGGGAACCGGCCCATTCTGTCAAACTTCTTGGCACAGTCTTTGAGCTTGGTTGGCTTCACCATCACTTATTTCATGAGGTTTACAGGTTCGCGGTAATTTATCGGAAATAGCATTGTCCGCAGTAGATTTCCTGAAACAGTTGACTCGTCAACTGATTGTCCTACATTTCACGGTTCTTGTTTTGCCGTTACAGTTTCGAGATGGTAAGCTTTGTTAAAGGGAGGTTATGTGAAAATTACGGAGAGGAGGGCTATCTCGGTAGTGGTCTCAGGAGTTATTTATCTCCCATGTACTAGTTGTCCATCCGAGCCTGCAAACCAAATGACGACGTAATCAAGTGTTTTGAATGAGGTATGAAAGTAGCCACTGTCTATGGCTTGTCACGTACACGCATACGAGCACTTAAATACGAAGCACTACACTAGCATCCGCCCAGAGTTAATATAGCCCCCATCGAGGTCAAAAGGCGGCAACGATTAAGTGTGTTTATATTTGACACAACTGTGGAAATCTCGCGCCTCAGCGGGATTCGAACCCATAAGACTCAGTGAAGGCTTTCATATAGCCAACGCTTCCGTCATCTGAGCCATGAAACCCCCATGAGGCGTGAGTTAAGTCACATTTGGGTCAAGTTGCCGGCCCAATCTTTTGGAGCGTCCGGAATAAACCGAATTTGATACGGTAAGCTGACTGCCCGAGGGGGATTTCCCAAGTAATTCATCTCGAATCCACCAGATGATTCACAGGCTAACGTAATTAATAGATTTTTTTGACAGATTTTGCATAATTCATTTTGACTCAGTTGTGAAAACTCGGTCGGTGGATTCTAGATGGATTACTTAGGAAACCCTCTGGGGGAATAATCTTACGGTATCAGATTCGGTAGATTCCAGAAGTCCAGGAGATAGGACGTATAACTTAACTCAAATTTACGTTAACTCACGTCTATTGGTGGGTCATAGTAGCTCAGATGGCTAGAGCGTTGGCTGCACTAAAGCCTCCCCTTGCTATAGAGTTCGAATCTCACCGAGACGTCGAGTGTTTCATAGTTGGGTCCAAGTGGGTTAGTCAAAGCCTGTCAAAGACACCTCTTAGGGAATATTTTATTCTGAAAATGACAGCGTACTTACTGAGGTCCGAAATTTATGCGACCGGGTCTTAACATCCAGGTGGGTATAAAAATCCTGCAAAAACGAATTTTTTTAACTCTTGCGCTCTACAAAACTCAGGTTTTCTGTATGCAGTCCTTCTGCTGAAAGCCTTTAGCTAACAGAGATAACGCTATCGAGCAGGTGCCAGAAGTGAAATTGCCCCTGAATCTATTTTTGATTGATTTTCGGCTGGTCTCTTACTGCCTTTCAGCCCGGGACGAAATCCATTATTTTCCACCCTTCCTGTCAGTCTACGCGAGGACTGACGAGACCTGTCCTCTGACTGTAGACAAAGTCATAAACCCCATGAACTGTATGGTGAATGAAATGAAGTTAAATTCGCCCGAGAGCGCTCTTGTGACCTGTGAACTCAAACAGTCCAATATCACTTGTGGACCGAAGAAGACTTTGGAACAGACGGTTAGCATAATAGGTGAGTGCAGAATGCGTCAAAATTGCATAACCTCCACTGAAATTTTCCTATATGTTTTGTCTAGAAAAATTGCGTATCTAAGATGCCTTGAGGAACCTAGTCCTGCCTATGGTTTTATTTGAACATTTTTCTTGAAGTATGGGTTTAACTTGAAGTAGGCATCCTGTGCTGCTGCTGTCATCACAGTCACTACTTTCACTTCATTCAGTGGGGCAGCAGAACACAAATAGGCATGAGTGTCACAGAAGTCACATTCCTGTCATGACAACGGGAAAATATATCATAATCTAAGGCAGCGAACGAAATATTAAAATTTGTTTTTTAATAGAAAGGAGTATTTAAGTGACTTAAGTATATTGATTATCAGGTCACGTGGTAGATGCACTGGACCAACACGGGGGCCACATCGGATCCTGACAGGGACTATCGGAACAGTCACCATAACAAGTGCCAACATTTCGGGGGTGCGATGACAGACCAAGCTGCCAGCTGGCGTCGCGCACACTGGGACTCACGCCGTCCCAATTTGCGTTGTTTATTCAAGTCCTGGTTCTTGCTGTGTAGACGATTGGGTAAGGAGGGTAACGTCATGACGCGGGCTCGATCGTGTCATTCACCTGCGCCCTTCCCTGGTCTTTGGTTTTCTTGACTTTGCTTTGACACGGGGCCCAGGCGCGGGAGAAGGAGAGAGTGCGGTAGATGATAGTCATGTCTACATTCATTATAAAAACATTCGCGCACAAGTCCTCGTCCCTACTTCACCTTTCCGTGAAGCACGCGATGAACATCGTCAATGACGACGGTCGAACTATCGTACAGTGTAATCCAAAATATAAGTCAATTCCTTCAGGATATAGGCTTTAAATGAGGTTCTTTTCGGCAGCCTAGAGAAACCACACCATCTAAAAATAATTGCTTGCACAGTATGTATTTTTTCTTGCTCCTATAACTTTACATATATTATGTAGAAAGCACGTGCAAAAAATCCCCTTACGCTAAGTTAACAGCATAATTGAGGAGAGCTATCACCCGATTTCAAAAAATTTTCTTAATTAGCGAATAATTCGTCACGTCACCTGCAACTGAATTTTTGCCGACATTTTCAAAACCACATACCGTAAACTTTCAGTAAAAGGAAAATGCTACATGTCTTTTCATTGCAAAGTGCAGGTCTTACGAGGCTCGTAAAATTTAGCAACAAATGTGGACAAAGCCGTGTATTATACAGACAGCATAAATAGATAGACAGGCACAATACTGCATGAAGTAAAACGGATACAACCGTAAACTTTTGTAAAACTGAAGGATATCGTTCCTTAGGCACGAAAATTTAAGATTTTATCGCTACCAGCGCACTACAAGGAAAAAATGTTTTTGTGATATTATCCATAGAATGCGTTTGAACTAATAGCCATAGAAATTTAACGGCAGGAATTCATGTTTTTAAGATTCATACTTTGTTGCTTACGGTTTTTGCAAGCTTCTTGAAAGAGGGTTATTCAGAATCCTAGCATGGCTGAAATATGTTTGGGATTATGTTGCAAAATAATCAATATTTTTCGGTCCGACAAGCATTTCGAAATTTCCTTAACATTTTTCGAGGTAAGCCAGCTACTGAATATGGCGTTCAGTAGCTCTCTGTCGCAAGAACCACACAGAAATGAATCCGAAGAACTAGCTTTCCATCAACGTGATATGTGCCTAACTAATGCCTGTCATGAACGATATCAAACATTTTTGTGTGCACTTGACATATTAATGTAGAAGTGCATGGTGATAATCTCAGGTATGTTTTGATTTATCGCAGATTTCCGTAGCGGTGCAGGCAACTGATTAGGCCCCTGCGGTGACGAAATGTGTGATGGCAGTTCGGGACGCTGAGATGGTGGCGACGGGCTTATGTTAGTGCTCGAATGGATAGTAAAGTGACAAACCTATCTCATGAAATGTTGGCTGAAATTCTGAAATGCGTTTCCCATTAGGAAGGATTACTTGGTCGCGGTTGTGACACTGATTATTTTAAGGCATACTCTTATAACATTTCGAACTTGGCAGGATGTCGGCTTTTAAAGGCACTTCTTTTCAATCTCATGTAGAAAGCGTGCTTCGTAAAAAAGGAATACTTAAGTAGCATGCATTTTACCCATTGATTTTCCATGATCTTTGAAATTCAAAAATATTTTATACAAACCACAAAAAATTAGGCTTTCTCTTAGTCAATCAATAGAGAATTACGTCTTCGTTATATTTTATACTGAATAAAGGAGTATAGTTAGGTTTTAAAAAGTTTCCAATTATGAGATTTTTTAAGACCGCGATATGTCCATTCACATAGCATCGTACCTGGCCGTTTACCACTGTTCCTCATGAAATGTACAACATGATCCGCATCCATTGCACAATTTTATGGACCCTGTTTGATATCTCTTTATTGACATAGAAAAATATGGGATTTTCTTTACGTAAAACGTATGCACCTTGTACAGTGTAATCACTAAGCGCTAATTCAACCAATGATCAGGCTCCAAATGTTCCGGCAATTAGAAAACTATTTTAAAACCTAATTATATTCCTTTCTTAAGTATAAAATATAACAAAGACGTAATTCTCTATTGATTGCCTAAGAGAAAGCCTAATTTTGTTTGTGGTTTGTATAAAATATATTTGAATTTCCAAGATAATAGAAAATCAACGGGAAAAATGCATGCTACTTAAGTAATCATTGTAATCTGGCCTAATTTAGGAGGAAAGGCTTATTTGATTAATACGCTAACATCCGACCCAGTCATACCTCTTTTGTACTCCATAGTAGATTCATATTCATCCTCCATTTTCCATCACCAGTGGCCTCCTCCGGTCTGCCGGCAAACTGGTGATAAGATGGTACGCAATGGCTGACATGACGTAGCTACTTTGTCATCACATGCAGCCACACAGACAGACGGATGTGACGTCGTTACCGACGTTGGTAAGTATAACTGCATGAGGAATAAATAACCTGGTTGACAGCTTATCTGGCCGGGAAGGTCCATGTAGTGACCGCATGTGACTGGGAACGATGCGAGATCGAGTGCCGAATTTCGTTTTGGCGAGTTTTTTTCAGCATCCGCATGTGGCGAAGGGCGTCCGTGCGGTGGGTTAATGTGTGGGCATATCAGTAAACGTTGTTCTTTGTCAAAAGACATCATTATTTGATCTGCCATTTGTATTTTCTGACTTCCTTTTGGGCTTCTTCCAAACGTCTAAGAAGTAAAATCCATATTTTCGAAATTTCAGATAGGGAAGACTTCGATTTGCAATGGACTCGTGGAAAGAACCCCTACAGAGCGAAGCTTACCAGTGATCGACTGAGACTGGAGGACCTGGAGGAGTATAGGTGTTGGTGGGCGACCTTAGACAGCAATGGTGTTGTGGATATCACTGGTGACATGGACATTCCACATAAAAGGTTTTGTCTTAGATGCATTGCTTTCTTGGGGAACAAAGCCGTTTCGGATCATCTTTATCCACCTAAAATGGGTAAGATAGCATGGAGCGCCTTTTACGGGACAATAGCAGTTTCATAAATTATAAGATGAGGATTAAAATTGTTCATCTTTGATTAAGAGTATGAATGATCAAAAACCTATAAGAAAAACGTGCAATTGTTTAGTGCATTCGTTCGATTATGATCAGGCAGTCATCAGCATTCTCTGGCGTGGGCATATTCCCGGTTGCTGACCTGTCGGGCATTCGGGCTTACTGAGTCCTCACCAGCCTTTGAGCTGTTCGGACAGGCATTACGCTGATCTTCGCGACGTCAGCTATGGGTCAGACATGATGACGGGAGGATACAGGACCTCATGTCATTGGTGCATAGACACTAAGGTTAGAGTAACTAAGTTAACTCAACGGATGCTATAAAGGGTACCGTCAAATGATGAGATTCGCAGCTAACACTTCGATGTGTGCTTCTACATGAGTTCAAGTGAAAATACCACACCGGGAATAATCGTCCTAAGAACGAAGTAGGCCTCTTAGAAAGACTGCCATAAAGTTTGTGTAGAAGTCCTGAGCTGATTGCACAAATAACCTACCCATATGAAAGAAACTAACTTATTTTTAATATGAACATTTCCACCCAGCGATCTAGTTATGACGACCATCCCAACTTCACCGAAGCCGTTTTATGAGACGCAGCTTCGGTCAATGACAGTTCTGATAGTAGAAGCCAGTGAACCAAGGCAAACATTGACGAACTGTCCTTGATCATTGCGTGTGCTAATCCCCGGTAGTCGAACAAGAAATTTTTTTCATTAATTTTCATGGCTTGCATAAAGTTACGAATAAGCTTTACTAACGACTGCATTAATGTGCAACAAGAATTACTGGCAAATTAGTAAAACCATGCATTACAAACAGTCTATTATCTAGTTGCGCAACATGACTACCCTACTGCCGAAAACACATGGGGGCAGAGAGACTGTCGCCGGCTTCCTGGAAGTTGCAAGCGAATTAAACGTCTGACTCTAAGCTAAAACTCTGAACTCTGTACTCTGTGCTCAGAGGTAAAGCGGACTTTAGCCAGAGTCTCCAGCCCCTGAAATCCAGATGCACACCTAAAAACCGAACCTTCTAACACCTCCAAATCTGGCGCACTGTCCTCTGACCTCATCCCGCATCAATGACCAGCCGCCCGCATTCTCCCGTTCCTCCTCCATCTCCGGCACAGGGAGCCCTGACGGTTCTCCCTTTCCTCCCCCCCTCCCACCCCAAAGTCTACAATGACTCGTTACCCACCCTCTCACGCACCGGCTGTCCGTCTGCCGTTGTCCATTCTGCCGCGTTAAAGGATCTAGTATACTGATCTCACATTCTCCTCTTCTCATTTCGTCTGACGACGGGTTGGTGTCACCAACTCCTAAAGTCACAAGGAGAACTCGATTTTCAGAATAGCCTTCTCTTTTTAACACTAAAAGCTGTTTACAAACTATATTCATTCGCCGGTCCGTGTGTAAGGTTTTACGAATACTTCAGGCATAGTTCTGAACTCTCTCTTAAGACGCACATTATTTTAAACGCCTAGTTTCGGTATGCGCTCATTCAGGTAATACTAGCATAAGGAATGAGCACGTTTTCATATCTGGCAAAGATGTCCACTACCACAGTCCTACCAATAGCGATCTTGGTCTTCCCTCGCGCTGTCGAATTCGCACCGTAATAACCCAGTCACCTATAAGTGCTTCTTAACTCGTATTATCATTAAATGAACAGAACTAGAAGAAAATGCCCATTGTCAACATGTCATTTTATCTAATTTCCCACATTTTCCCGTCCATTCTGCTGTTTATTCTTATTTTCTACCCCCTTATCGATCCCCGTTTTTTTATTTGATTTAAGCGATTGAATCAATCAGCGTTGAGTTAGTGAACAATGAGAAAAACTTCATTATTGGGGAGGAGACACCTCCGATTTTAGTCAGAGGATACGACGATTCCAAGGAACTGTCGCCCGAATTTATCTTCTGCACCGGTCTCCCCTTCAAGTCGCCCCACCTTTTAATACAGAACGTACGTACGGAGGGCGAAAAAGAGGTCGTCTGCTATGCGGTGGGCAATGGAATTAAAGGATCAGACCGAAAATTCCGCCTGGGATTCTACTGTGAGTACCTAAGACATATGACCGAGAATTTATGAGTTTATTGCCATATTTGTACTGCGACTCTTTAAATACACACAGTATTTTGCTTTCGGTGTCAGTGAGACACGCCAGAGTGACGCAGCCTTGTATATCCGGATTTCGGGGGCTGGAGGCCCTGGTTCAAGTCCACATGATCCCCGAGCACAGAGTCCAGCTTTCAGAGTCGTAGCAAAGGGTTAGGCATATAATTTGCCTGGGACAGCAAGGAAGCCGGTGACAGTCTCTTAGCTTCCGTTTCCCCTTGTTTTTTGGAGTAGGAGAAGGTCTTAGCTCGTTCTACAAGACACGGTACATCCGTGATTCTCTCATGGAACTCAGCTAGAAATAAGCAATGTTTATCTGCATTTAATGACAGAAACTAGCAAAGAAGGAGCCAAAGGGCATAAACACTTAGCTATTTCTAACCCACTTAGAACGCTAGCCAACCGTAACCTGGAACTGACTGAAAGTTTGAAAATATCAGATAAAGGAATGCGGGTGTCCACTTAATGCTTTTTAATGAATAACCAATGAGTAACGACAAAGTCTACTCTGCTGTGAGCTCTGGAGTATGTAACTCGCACATCGGGCTATGTTCTATTATACAGCCCTCAATCCGGCAGGCCTTGCAGAATGAAGTAGATGGATGGACGAGTATCCCGGCTCAGATATATTCCTTACCTCATCGGCAAAATACCTGAGAAATTACATAATGATTCGGCCCTTGTATTGGGTTTCGTGTCAGTGTTGTGGTTCTGTTGGTTCGTGCGTGGACTATTCTAAATTTACGCAGTCATCATACCGTATTGTCTGTCAGGCGCTGATGAAATGGCATTATCAAGACTGACGGATATGCGTTTCGCTTACAGCAGGTTACCGCATTTACTGACAATTTCGATCTGCGTCAGGTTCTGAATGACCATTCGTTACATTTGTGCGTGTCAAGCGCTCAGCGGAAGTGCAGGAGAGGCTGACTGTAGAGTCTAACGGAGGCATTTTTTCTTATCGAAGGAGACTAATACTTCACCCTCATTCCCCAAGAACTGATGGTAAAGACATGGATTACCGGACCGTTCAAGCGTCGATTCCTACGATGTCCATCACAGCGTCACGGCAAGGTGGACAAAGGAGCGGTGATTGCATCTGTCACACTCCCTTCTTCACCTCCTCCTCCTCCTCCTCCTCCTCCTCCTCCTCGTCATCATCATCATCATCATCATCATCATCATCATCTTCCATCGGGCCTCAACGTCATGAGAAGAAAGACGAAGGTGACAGGCGAGATCTCAACCCGCCCCTAGGTATGCGACCCCATCCCCTGGTCTGCAAAACCGACCGACATTTACCAAACCAAAAAGAGACTGTGATCAAGATCCAAAATGGGTGGGAGTGCCATAAAACCCAATTTAATAGGGGCTCTTTGCGGTCTGAATCTTAGATTCCATCAGTCACGCACTCCGCACAAAAACCCACTAGGCTGAATGTGAGGTCTGACTTGAATCGTCGGTTTGTAACCTTCTAGGCAACGGCTTTTAACAGACTGGGGTTAGAATGATATTACTGACAAAGAAAAGGGCGAATTAAATGGTCACCTCTGGTTTATTGGCCGTCCTCGACTAGTCATACTTAATCCCTAAGTGTGGAACAACTTCAGTGTAATAGTTTGCTTATTGTGCAGAATATGCTTGGCGAATCAACCTCATTCTATTTGGCCTTTTCTATGCACCAATCGACTGTCTGAGCCGAAAAAAGTTATCTGTTCTTGAAAATTTGAGATGTGGCTGACAGAGCTAGGGACTGTCGGTATGCGAGCGCCAAATACACGACCTGCCCCGACCCCCCCAAAAAAATCACGCCAGGATCTCATCCAAAAGGAATTGAGTGTTTGCGCCGCGCATGTAGCAAAAGAACCACACAGAAATGAATCCGAAGAACTAGCTTTCCATCAACGTGATATGTGCCTAACTAATGCCTGTCATGTACGATATCTAAAATTTTTGTGTGCACTGGACATATTAATGTAGAAGTGCATGGTGATAATCTCAGGTATGTTTTGATTTATCGCAGATTTCCGTAGCGGTGCAGGCAACTGATTAGGCCCCTGCGGTGACGAAATGTGTGATGGCAGTTCGGGACGCTGAGATGGTGGCGACGGGCTTATGTTAGTGCTCGAATGGATGGTAAAGTGACAGACCTATCTCATGAAATGTTGGCTGAAATTCTGAAGTGCGTTTCCCATTAGGAAGGATTACTTGGTCGCGGTTGTGACACTGATTATTTTAAGGCATACTCTTATAACATTTTGGACTTGGCAGGATGTCGGCTTTTAAATGCACTATTTTTCAATCTCATGTAGAAAGCGTGCTTCGTAAAAAAGGACTACTTAAGAAGCATGCATTTTACCCATTGATTTTCTATGATCTTGGAAATTCAAATATATTTTATACAAACCACAAAAAAATTAGGCTTTCTCTTAGTCAATCAATAGAGAATTACGTCTTCGTTATATTTTATACTGAATAAAGGAGTGTAGTTAGGTTTTAAAAAGTTTCCAATTATGAGATTTTTTAAGACCGCGATATGTCCATTCACATAGCATCGAACCTGGTCGTTTACCACTGTTCCTCATGAAATGTACAACATGATCCGCATCCATTGCACAATTTTATGGACCCTGTTTGATATCTCTTTATTGACATAGAAAAATATGGGATTTTCTTTACGTAAAACGTATGCACCTTGTAGAGTGTAATCACTAAGCGCTAATTCAACCAATGATCAGGCTCCAAATGTTCCGGCAATTAGAAAACTATTTTAAAACCTAATTATATTCCTTTCTTAAGTATACAATATAACAAAGACGTAATTCTCTATTGATTGACTAAGAGAAAGCCTAATTTTTTTGTGGTTTGTATAAAATATATTTGAATTTCCAAGATAATAGAAAATCAACGTGAAAAATGCATGCTAATTAAGTAGTCATTTTTACCGAGCACGCTTTCAGCAGAAGATTGAACAGAAGTGCATTTAAAAGCCGACATCCTGCCAAGTCTAAAATGTTATAAGAGTATGCCTTAAAATAATCAGTGTCACAACCGCGACCAAGTAATCCTTCCTAATGGGAAACGCATTTCAGAATTTCAGCCAACATTTCATGAGATAGGTCTCGCACTGTATGTATTTGTATATATATGTAGATGTAGGCGATGTAGCAGGCAGACGCAGCTGGGTCAAAACCATCATCCGTCCACAACCTCTCATCCAAACAACTGAAAGTAGACCAGATAAAAGTGCTTCAGCACGAATCTGGATACAACACAGGTGACGCGCAGCCACTGGATTTTATCGCGGCATCGGAAGCGAGACTCGCAAAGACAGATACAATCGAAGACTCCAAGAACTCCATTCGCCAGCGAGTCTCATCCCTCATTATATCCCACAAGCCACGTCGGGCCATCTCCTCGGCCGAATTAAAGGCCATTAGGGAATTAAAGATGGACGAAGAAATAATCATCGTTACAGCGGACAAAGGACGGGCAACCGTGATCTTGGACAGATCAGAGTACGCCGCAAAAGCCCAGGAACTACTAAACGACAACCAGTCATACAGAGTCGTCGACTGTGACCTCATAAAAACACTGGTAGGCAAAATTAACAAGGGCTTAAATCAGATGAGGAGCCAAAAGGCGATATCTGAAAACGATCGGAGACAAATGAGACCGCAAGTTACCACACAAGCGCGTTTCTACGGTTTGCCAAAAATCCACAAGCCAAATGTCCCCCTACGAAACCTCGTAGCGCTGAAAATCACACCTACCTACGGACTGGCTAAATGGCTTACCAAGCACTTAAAGAAGCTGACGGAAGGCTCCGAACACACAGCCGCCTCCTCAACGCACTTCCTAGAAAAAGTCCGAGGCCTGACAATAGCCCCCAATGAAATCATGGTATCCTTTGACGTCGTCTCTTTGTTCCCTTCCATCCCTAAGGAGTTGGCCATGAGAGTCATCAGTGGCCTACAGGAACGAATGTACGACGATGAAGAAAAACCGTTTAAAAGGAAGCACGCGATTGAGTTACTGGACTACTGCTTATGCACGTATTTCGCTTTTAACGACCATACTTATGAGCAAATCCAGGGAACTCCGATGGGATCCCTGATCTCCGGCTTCCTGGCTGAGACGGTACTACAGGAGCTGGAAACTCGTGTATTTCGGTCCTATAAGCCAAAATTCTGGATGCGCTATGTGGACGATACCTTTGTCGTCCTGAACCGAGATGCGAAGGAGACCTTTGGAGGAGAATTAAACTCCATCTTCCCACAAATCCAATTCACAATGGAGGAAGAAAAGGACGGAACGCTCTCTTTCCTCGACTTGCGGGTAACGGGGCAGGAAGATGGAACAATCCGAACCGGTGCTTTCCGAAAAGCTACAAACACAGAGAAAATACCCTACTACAACAGCAACCATCTCCTGTCGCATAAACGCATTTGCGTCCGGACACTTTTCCGCCGCATCAACGCGCACTGCTGCACAGAGACCGAGAAGCTACAAGAGCGTGCGTCCCTGTGGCACCTCTTCCTTGTCAATGGATACCCACGTAGCTTCGTAAACAAATGTCTGTTCCAACGACACACACAAAGGCTGACGGTGAAACGAAACAAAAACCTGAGGTACTCCGTGTCTTGCCCTACATGAGGAACGTCTCTGAGGCCACTGAGCATATGCTGAGACCACTTAAAGTGGGCGTTGGGCACCGACCGGAAGCCACCATCCGCCGATTAGTCATGCAGCCAAAGGGTAGGCTGCCCCCTGAGGACATGTCAGGTGTCATTTACCGCGTTAACTGCCTAGACTGTCAGGCCAACTATTGCGGTATGACAAACAAACGACTTAAAACGCGCATACATGAGCACAACGTAGCCGTCAAGCGGAAAGATGCAAGCTCACACGTCGCCATGCACAGTCTGGAAAATGACCATCGGTTTGACTTTGACGGCGCCCAAGTGCTCGGCCGAGCGGAAAACAGACTGGAGCGAGAAATAATCGAGGCCTGGCAGATAGACGCCAAATCCATCAACCGCAGCGTCGACCTACCGGCAGCATACGAGGCCGCCAAACACCACATACGCACCAGGGGAGGCCAAAGGAAGATGGGTTTTGATGACCCTATCAGGCGCGAGCCGGACGGACCTATTAAAACCGTGTAATTTTCACATATTTCCTTTCACCTATGATGCTCTCGAGTATGAGTGTGAAACTTCAGATGAATAAATCATCATCCCCAGAGCTCGCCTTACAATCTTCTTCAATATACACATATATATATATATGTTGAGAAGGTAATACCGACAAAGACAAGGGAGACCGGAATGGCCATTTCTCGCTTATTAGCCGTAATCAGCCAGTCATGCCCAACCCCAAGTGTGGATCACTTGAGATTCGAACCCGGGATCTTTGCTCATGGAGTTGAACGCTCTACCATTGAGCCACCGGCCCGTTGTCCTGTCGGTTGTGATATCGGTCTCTCTTGATATCATAATTAATATTCCCGATCACAACCGACAGGACAACGGGCCCGTGGCTCAATGGTAGAGCGTTAAACTCCATGACCAAAGATCCCGTGTTCGAATCTCAAGTGATCCACACTTGGGGTTGGGTATAACTGGCTGATAACGGCTAATAAGACAGAAATGGCCATTCCAGTCTCCGTTGTCTTTGTCGGTATCACCTTCTCAACATACATATATATATATATTTCCCGAATGATAGAGAATACGCGCAAGCCAGGTAATTGCATAGAAGAAGACGGGAAGGCGATCGCTGGTACCAATGGTTTATTTATACGACTTTTCGAACTCTCACTCGAGCCCATCGTCAAGGAAGGAAAAAACTGTACAGCTCGTCGTGTATTTAGCTCACCTCTGTCGGGGGTGACCTCTAGCTGCGCTGTTGATTTGTTCACGCAGTGCTTGATAGGCGATTGGCTGATCGATATGTCGATTAATCGCGTCCTCATTTGAGTGCCACGCTTCCTGGAGCAGGCGCGCAACTCGGTCGTCTGACTGTCCTAGTATTCTCACGCTCCCAAAGTCAAAGGCGTGTCCGGGCGAGGAGGCGTGGGCGGCTACCAAAGAGAGTTTATCCTTGCGTCTCACGGCCAATTCATGCTCATGCAATCTCGTGCGGACCTGTTTTCCGGTTTCACCAACATAACTGGCCTGACCGCAATTGCAGTCTATGCGGTAGATGACCCCCGATTTCTGATTTATGGGAATCGGATCCTTGGGCTGCATGAGTTGACGGCGGATTGTGGCTTCAGGTCTGTGCGCGACGCCGATCCCAAATTCGCTCACCAGTCTGGCGAATTCTTCTGACAAACCAGCTACGTACGGAACTGCGCGCCAGCACTTCGGTTTCGGCTGCCCCTTCGATTTTCTTCCCCGTGTTTCTCGCCTGCACTTTTCGACGAAATTCTCAGGGTAGCCGTTCATGGTGAAGAGTTGTGCACAACATATCTTCCAAACAACTGACAGCAGAGCAGATGAAAGTCCTGAGCCATGATGCCTGCTTCAATACGACGGATGCCCAACCTGTTGACTTCATCGCAGCTGCGGAATCTGTCATTCGTGAAGCTCTAATCACTGAGGAAAACAGAAATCTGCTACGACAGCGAATATCCTACAGACTCATGTCCTACAAGAAACGCAATATGCCCTCGAAAGCAGAAAACGAGGCACGTCGGACTCTGAAGGCCGACAAAAGCATTGTCATACTCCCGGCGATAAAGGACGATCGACGGTCGTACTGAACAAGGAGGACTAGGTCAACAAAGTCGAGGCCCTTTTGGGCGATAGAACCGCCTACATTCCTTGTGAAGGGGATATGACGAAGACTTTAATGAGCAAAATCAACAAGGACCTGGCAAGTCTTCGGAAGTCAAAAGCGATTACACGGCTTGACTGGCAGAGGATGAAACCAAAGGATTCCGCGATCGCGAGATTCTATGATCTACCCAAGGTCCACAAACCAGGAACCCCCCTACGACCGATCGTTTTTCTAAGAGGCACAACAACGTTTGGCCTGGCTAAGTGGCCATTCAGCGTCTGAAATTCCTAACCCAAGGTTCTGAAACTACCATCCACTCGGCAGAACAATTCCTTGAGAAACTGCAAGGTATTCAACTTACAGATGACGAAGTGATGGTATCTTTCGACGTGGTATCACTCTTCACTTCCATCCCACAACATCTCGCGGTTGAAACTGTGCAAACCTTGTTAGAGCAACGTTATAACAAGACGGACAACAAACTTAAGATAAAACACCTTGTCGATCTCCTGAAACACTGCTTGAAGACCTTCTTCACCTTCAATGGAACCACGTACGAACAAGGTAAAGGCACACCCATGGGGTCGCCGTTATCCAGCTTGATTGCTGAGGCAGTGTTACAGCGACTGGAGGCACTGGCTTTTGACCACTACCGACCACGATTTTGGGTACGGTATGTTGATGACACATTAGTCATCATCAATCGGGACAGGATTGGGGAATTCACGCAACATCTGAACTCGATCTTCCCAGATATCCAGTTCACGATGGAGGAGGAAAAAGATTGCCAGTTGCCGTTCCTGGACGTACTAGTCCAGAGAAAAGGCGATGGGGGACTAAAAAAACAGTTTACCGAAAGGCGACAAATACCTCTCGTATTCTGAGTTTTCTCAGCAACCACCCCTTTCACACAAACGCAGCTGCGTAAGAACAATCTACCGGCGGGTAGAATTGCATTGCACAGAGCCAGCCGACAAGAAGGCCGAGGCTCAGTTCCTGAAGAAACTCTTCACCTTGAACGGCTACCCTGAGAATTTCGTCGAAAAGTGCAGGCGAGAAACACGGGGAAGAAAATCGAAGGGGCAGCCGAAACCGAAGTGCTGGCGCGCAGTTCCGTACGTAGCTGGTTTGTCAGAAGAATTCGCCAGACTGGTGAGCGAATTTGGGATCGGCGTCGCGCACAGACCTGAAGCCACAATCCGCCGTCAACTCATGCAGCCCAAGGATCCGATTCCCATAAATCAGAAATCGGGGGTCATCTACCGCATAGACTGCAATTGCGGTCAGGCCAGTTATGTTGGTGAAACCGGAAAACAGGTCAGCACGAGATTGCATGAGCATGAATTGGCCGTGAGACGCAAGGATAAACTCTCTTTGGTAGCCGCCCACGCCTCCTCGCCCGGACACGCCTTTGACTTTGGGAGCGTGAGAATACTAGGACAGTCAGACGACCGAGTTGCGCGCCTGCTCCAGGAAGCGTGGCACTCAAATGAGGACGCGATTAATCGACATATCGATCAGCCAATCGCCTATCAAGCACTGCGTGAACAAATCAACAGCGCAGCTAGAGGTCACACCGACAGAGGTGAGCTAAATACACGACGAGCTGTACAGTTTTTTCCTTCCTTGACGATGGGCTCGAGTGAGAGTTCGAAAAGTCGTATAAATAAACCATTGGTAACAGCGATCGCCTTCCCGTCTTCTTCTATTTACATATGCCGATATGCGTAAAGATCCGAGGTCCAGACATTGTATCGCGTTTATCATCACCCGAAGAAGAAGAGAGGGCGAATTCATGGACCATATTGTATTCGAACTGACTTTTCGGAATCTTCCTCGTTTCCATCATCAGAGTAGCGTAGTTGTTGCACTTGCCGATCTTGAGTTATTCAGTCTTGCCGCTTGCCTCGTATTATAGCCGTGCTGGACGCACGAACTTTGACCTGCCTGTTTGCCGCTGACTGGCTTAGACCTCCCCGGGGCTGACCGCTGATAGGCCTGCGTGACCTTTGTTCCCTTTGGGGTCGGCGTAATTGTGGTCAAATCAACGTGCCGCTTGGCCTCTCCCACATCAGCCGGTGGACTAATCGGTCGTTGCTGTTCAGTTGAGCAGCATTCAGCTTCGCGGGCGCGTCGGTGAGGGAGTGTTCGGCTTTGGTCACATGACCTCTGGTCCCCAATTTCGCTCTTTTCCGTGAGCGTTGACTCTCGGTCCCGCGTGCTCGCTTGCCTTACTGGTCCTGTCCGGACTGATCCGAGCCTTGTACGCAGCGCCTGATAGGCGGGATGTAGATCTATAGATCGGTTGAGTGTACCAGCCGAGGACCAACTTTCGAGCACCAGTCTGGCCATCTTCTCATTGGCTCTGCCAATTACCCTCGCTTTCTCAAGGGCAAAATCGTGGTTCAGTTCTCTTATGTGGCCATAGACCAAAGACAGCTTGTCCTTGCGGTTGATTGCAAGTTGGTGTTCGTGCAATCTTGTACCGAGGCGTTTGCCCGTTTCACCAACATACCTCGCATTGCAATTTAGACATGGTATGCTGTAGACCACCGCCGACTGTTCTGTTGTTGGTAGCGGGTCTTTGGGCTTCATGATTTGCTGTCTGATGGTGCATTCTGGTTTATGAGCCACGCCAATCCCAAAAGGTTTCAGGATTCTTGCCGTTGCCTCTGATACGTTCTTCACATAGGGTATTGAGAGCCATAACTTGGGATTTTCTCCACTCGACCGCTCAAAATGAGGCTTTTTGAGGCAATTGCGTATGAAGGACATCGGGTAGCCGTTGGCTTTAAAAAGGGCCTGCAAGTAATTCATCTCCTCCTTCCTTCCTCTGTCGTCGCTACAGTGTGTTTGAACGCGTTGAAAGAGAGTTCTGACACAACTGCGTTTATGGCCAACAGGGTGGTTGCTTCGGAAGTGAAGGATGCGCCTGGTATTTGTTGCCTTACGGTAAACCGTTGTCCTTATCTTCCCGTCTGTCAATCTCGTGACTTGTACGTCCAGGAAGGGCAACTGATTGTTGACTTCCTCTTCCATAATAAACTGAATATCGGGAAAGATGGAGTTCAACAATGCCTTGAAAGCCTTCACCTCACTCCTATTGATTACAACGAACGTGTCGTCGACGTATCTGGCCCAGAACTTCGGGGGGTACGAGCTGAAGACCTGCTGCTCGAGTCTCTGCAAAACTGCTTCGGCAATTAGTCCAGACAGAGGCGAGCCCATCGGTGTCCCATTCTTTTGCTCGTAGACTTGGCCGTTGAATGTAAAGAAGGTCTTAAGACACAGTTCTAGGAGCTCGATGATGTGTGCCCGTTTAAGCTGTTGGTCGCTTTCATCACACTTTTCCCGGAGAAAGCCATCAATAGTGTCGATAGCCAGCGCGGTTGGGATGGAGTAGAATAATGAGATCACGTCAAATGACATCATCACCTCATCTGCCTCCACTTCGAGATGTTTGATGCGCGTCAAGAACTCTTCAGCCGACTTCACTGTCCACTCCGAATCCTTGGTAAGGAAACAACGTCGTTGGTACAGCCACTTTCACAGCCCAAATGCTGGAGTGCCACGTAAGGAGACGATGGGGCGTAGGGGCACCCCCTGCTTGTGGACCTCTGGTAGGCCGTAGAAGCGCGGCATCGCGGTATCACTGGCTTTTGCGGCCAACGCCTCCCTTCTCGTAAGAGCTCCCGCCTTCCTCAGCTTGCCGATCGTCTTGTTTATGCTGTTTATGAGCTTTTTAAACTCGCTGACGGTCGATGGCACATAAGCTTCCTTGTCCATTAAGAGGTTGCCTAGTTTTGTGCAGTACTCAGCCTTATCCATGACGACAGTCGAGCGCCCCTTGTCGGCGGGCAGGGTGACGATATCCTTCATTTTTCGTATCTTCAGAAGTTCTCGATCTTCTGCTTTAGAAATCGTCATCTGGCGTTTGTGTTGGAGGAGTAAGGTCGACACTTGTTGTCGCATGGCGTTTTTGCACTACTCGCCTGGCTCACACTTCTGGAGCGCCGATTCAAAGGATGCAATAAAGTCTTCTGGTAGAGCATCTCTTGTGTTGAACTTCGCGTCATATGATAGAACCGCTAGTTGTTGCTGAGTTAAACGATGAGAGGACAAGTTGTGAACCAAGGCACCTTCAGAAGAGGGCTGCTTTGGCGGACTTATATTCTCTATTCTTCCCGAAAACTGGTCATCACGCAACTTGCAGTGACGCCTTGCGCAGTCGAGAATTGCCGCTTTGAGGACCCCCAGCTCTTGTGCCATCAAGATCGACTGGCAAGTTGACGAATGATGTTCAATCAGCTGGCGGTACTTTTGGATGCGGGCGTGGCAGTCTCGTATCAGTACCCTGATGATTTTCTACTTGAAGTCTGCTATCGTCCGCCGGCAAAGGTCAGAGTTCACAGGCTGTCTATATTTGAGGCATTTCGGAAAGACGTCCTCATCAAGGCACCTGTGTAGGAATTTCAGCTGAGCGTAGGTGGAGGACTCCCACTTCGCGAAAGTCTCCCATCTGCGTGCTGAGCGGAGGGCTGTGCGCCCATAGCATACATCGATATGCGTAAAGATCCGAG